TACAAGGAAATTTTATTAATATTTTTTTGTTTTAATTTTTAATCCTATGTTACATTGCATAATCAAAATCTACTATTATATTTATTGCTAAAATAAGGAGTAAGGGAATATGCAATAAAGATCATAAATCAATACAATTAAGCCCATGAAACATTCCAAAGTTAAGTGAAAGGGGCAAATTATGATGTGGAACCATGTCCTTCCAAAACTGTTCATAATTATGAATATATAGTTCAAAACTTATTAACATATAGTTCTATAATTATGAATATAGAGTTGTGAACATAATTATGAACATATAGTTCTGTAATTATGAATATAGAGATTCAATAGTTGTGAATATGAAGTTCAAAAATTATGAATATATAGCTTTATAATTATGAACATATAGTTCAGTAATTATGAACATAAAGTTCAGTAATTATGAACATAGAGTTCTGTAATTGTGAATATAGAGTTTAATAATTATGATTATGAAGTTTAAAAATTATGAATATATAGCTTTATAATTATGAACATATAGTTCAGTAATTATTAACATAGAACCGTGTCCACCTTGCAAGGTGGACACGGTTCCACAGCATAACAATTGGAATTGGCAATTTATATCGTGCACCAGGGCGCACATTGCATTGTGCGCCCTGGTGTAAAACGACGTTGTTTTGTACTCTTTTTTTTGTAAATTTCGCTTTCCGTGTCGGCTGTTAACTTCTTTAAAAAAAATCTCATGTTTCGAAAATGTACATAATTGTATAATAGAATGTACATAATTGTATAACAGAATCTACATAATTGTATAACAGAATACACATACTCTTTTTTGAAAAGATAATACACATAATCTAACATAATACATAATACACATCAACTCTTAACATAATACACAAACTTTTAGGGGGTGTTTGGTTGGATGTAGTTGTAATTCTTTTCCTACTTTATTCCATTGCAAAACAAATAGATGTTTGGTTAGAGGGAATTGCAATTCCACAGAATTGCAATTCCCTCCTTTTGTTGAATTGCAATTCAATGCTTTTGGAAAAGGAAAAATAGATGAAATGACAAAAATACCCTTGATGATTGTTATTCTTCTTATTACACAAGGACATTTTAGTCCTTATACCACTTTTTTCCTTCTCATTCCCAATAATTATATTCTTCCTACCAACCAATGTAATTTGAATTCCTACATTATTCCTACCTTATTCTTTTCCCACCGAATTGCAATTCCTTTCCTTCCTAATTTCTTCCTCCCAACCAAACACCATGTTAACTCTTTAAAAAAAAAATGGAATAAGGGTCAAATAGACCACTCAATTGCGCACCAAATTGCAATTGGGTCATCGAACTAAAAAAGAATGCAATTGGGTCCCTGAACAACGCAAATTCATACAATTCAATCCAAATTGACTTGTTTACATGGTAAGGCGGTTACCCGAATTTTAAAAATATTTTTTTAATAACTTTAAATTAAAAAAAAAAAAAAAAAAAAAAAAAAAAAAAAAAACAAAACAAAAAACCCTTCGTCTCCGCCGGAGAAGAAGCGGTTGCTTCGTCTTGGGCCGTCTCCCCGGCCATGGAGACGGCCACCTTCGTCTTAGGCCATTTCGCTAGCCAGGGAGACGTCCTGAGACTTCTTCGTCTCTGGCGAAGACGATGCAGTTTTTTTTTTTTTTTTAATTTTAGATTTTTTTATTTAAAATTATTAAAAAATATATTTTTAAATTCGATAACCGTCTTTCCAGGTAAACAGGTCATTTTTGGATTGAATTGCATGAGTTTGTGTTGTTCTCCAATTGCATTCTTCTTTAGTTTGATGGCCTAATTGCAATTGAGTGCGCAGTTGAGTGGCCTATTTAACCTTTATTCCAAAAAAATTTCCTGTTTCGGATGTACATAATTGTATAAAAAAAATGTACATAATTGTATAACATAATGTACATAATTGTATAACATAAGGGAAAATTGCATCTTTAGTCCCTGAGTTATAACCAAGTGTCGACTCAGTCCCTAAGTTATGGTAGTATCCGAGTTTAGTCCCTCACTTATGAGAAAAGTGGCGAGTTTGATCTCTAGCGTTAATATTCTGTCTGCAGCTAACGGAAAACTTAAAAACAATTTAATAATAGAGGGGTAAAATAGGAATTTCAAATTATAATCCCCTTATGTTGAAACCCATTGCGCAACCGTTATTATTTTCTTCTTATTACTATATCTACAATCGAAGGTCTTTTTCTTCCCCAAGCTCTAAAGTCTTAAATTCATCCACTTCCGAGATGCGAAATTCATAAGCAAGTTGTTTCTCTATTTTATATGTTTAAATAAATACTCTGTAATTAATATTCTCTATTTTATATCAAGAAAAAAGTAACTTGGAGGATATTGATTATCAAGAAAAAAGTAGTCAATATAATATTCTTCATGAAGTTAGCAAACACCTCCTCCAAGTTACTTTTTTCTTGCGCATAAATACGGAGAATATTGATTATTTATTTAAACATATAAAATAGAGAAACAATTTACTTATGAATTTTGCAGCTTAGAATTGGACGAATTTGTGATCTCAGAGCTTGGAGAAGAAAAAGTCATTCGATTGTAGGTATAAGAATAAAAGAATGACTGTTGCGCAATGGGCTTCAACATAAGAAGGGGATTATAATTTAAAATTCCTATTTTACCCCTTTATTATTAAATTGTTTTAAGTTTTCCGTTAACTGCAGACAGAATATTAACGCTAGGGACCAAACTCGCCACTTTGCTCATAACTGAGGGACTAAACTCGGATACGGCCATAACTTAGGGACTGAGTCGGAACTTAGTTATAACTCAGGGACTAAATATGCAATTTTTCCAAAATGTACATAATTATATAACAGTATACACATACACTTTGTCACATCAACTCCCTACACAACTTAACAAAACGACGTCGTTTTGGGAGGCGCGGGGAGCACATTGATATGTGCGTCGTGATGCACGGTATAACGATTGGTGGGGAATTGGGCATGGCCTTGGCTATTGCTTTGGCATTCTTCTCAAAAGGTTGAATTGTCAACTCCAAGGGCCCTCTATACCCCGGCCCAATAGAACATCTAAGATGATGTAAATCGGCAAATTATGCTATGCGCACGACGCTAAAACGGCGTCGTTTTCCGTGAAAACGACGCTGTTTTAATTTTAAAAAAAAAAATTTGTTCGAAACGCCGTTAACGGCGTTAACGGCATATTCGTTATGAAATTATGAATATACAGTTATGACATTATGAATGTACAGTTATAGAATTATGAATGTATAGTTATGGAATTATGAATTTACAATTATGAACATAGAGCTTCGAAAATTATGAATGTTCGGTATGAAATTATGAATATACAGTATGGAATTATGAATGTACAGTTATGAAATTATGAACATAGAACTCTGACATTATGAACTTACAATTATGAACATAGAGCTTCGAAAATTATGAATTTACAGTTATTGAATTATGAATGTACAGTTACGGAATTATGAATGTACAGTTATACAATTATGAATGTACAGTTATAGAATTATGAATGTACAGTTATGAAATTATGAACACAAAGCTGTGAATATATGCTCCTATAACGAAGCGGTCTGAAATTAAATTAAAAAAAAAAAAAAAAAAAAAAAAAAAAAAAGAGGGAAGATAACGGTGCCTGACGGCACCGTTATCCGTGCGCATGAAGCACGCTGGGCACGAGCCCACAGCATAACTATCCATGTAAATCATGCTTTTGCGTGACTAGGATTGATCGAGGTGCTTGGAAATCACTCTATTGGTTACGTGATGTTATTTATAATGCTTAAATAAATTATTTATATTTATTAATTATATATGAATTAGTCAATTGCACCAAAAATTAAGTAGAAGATGAAATGCCATAAATAGATCGAGTCCAAATTAGGTAATAATGTTTTTTCTTTTAAAGAAAATGAGGTAATAATTTTTATTGTAGTAAAACTCTTTTAGGAAACTAAGTAAATAAGAAAAGTAGTACTTGTTCCAAAGCAGCATGAGTAGGAATGTAGGATTAGGATTTAGGAATAAAAATTGACACCTACTATGAAACTACATAGTATTAACCAGAATTTTACTCGTGTCAAATAATAATAATAATTAATAAATAAATAAATTTAGGTGACCCGTTAAAAACTTGAAAAATATGTAAATTAGAATAATTGCGTGAAATTGATTAATTTAGAAATTCAATTGTAGTTTTTTAAAGTTCGGTGACCTAATTGAATTATCGTGTGTAGTTGGATGACATATTTGACCTTTATTCCTTTACTTTATTATAGATCAGAGTTCATAAATTCTTATGTACTATAGTAAATAAATGCAATTAAGTTTGCCGCTTAAGCCCATCATTTGAACCTCATCAAATTATTGTGTGGACCATGGTCTATATAATACTCTGTCACCATAACAAAAAGTATATTTTCAATATACTAAAAGTACATTATTCGTGTACTGAATATATATTATACAAAATAATATATTTTCAGTACTTAAATAATGTATTTTTCTTAAATATAATATAATGTACGTATTTAATATACTAAAAATATATTATTTGTGTACTGAATATACTTTATTAACTGTGTGGACCAATAATGATTGTCTGACCTCCTAAAGTTAAGGCTACTGATTTCCTTATTAACCATGATTTATTCAAACCCCAATTTAGAGACTTTTTACTGCCTTAATTAAACCGGTCTTTGCCTTGCTGATTAAGAACCTATTTGAGAGATTCTTTAATTTTTGGCAGGTAGTCTAGTCAATCATAGGAGTAAACGAAAATTTAGGAAATTTACCTAAACCTAGTATTGAAAGAAATTGACACTTTGTCTAATCCCGATAAGGATGTGATTTGCAACTATATATATAAATAACACCCCTTCACCATTATTCCCTTCCTACACAAAAATAATCAATAAGTTTAAGATTCGAGTTTGAAGTTTAAGGTTTCTTGATTGAATGGCGGCTATGGAGTCCCAGGACAAGAGAAACAAGGGAAGTAAAGGGAAAAGGAAGATTGAGATTAAGAGAATAGAAGCGAAGAGTAGCCGACTAGTCACATTCTCCAAACGCCGGGCCGGAATATTCAAGAAAGCCAGCGAGCTTTCAACGCTGTGCGGGGCGGAGGTGGCCGTCCTCGTGCGTTCTCCGGCGGGTCGGGTCTTCGGCTTCGGCCACCCGAGCATCGACGCGGTTATTCAGCGCTACGAAAACTGTGGGCCAGGGGGAGATCAGTGCCCGGACTACTGCGGCGGCGATGAATGGGTGGAAGGAGTTGAGACGCTGGCGGCGGAGAAAGAGCAGCTGGCGGAGGAGAACCGCAGACAAACGGCGGCGAGCAGTGGCGGCGGCGGCGGCGAGAGAGGGATGCTGTGGTGGGCTAAAGATATTGACGGAATGGGATTGCAGGAATTGGTGGAATTTAGGAATTCTTTGGTAAGGTTGAAGAATGAAACCGAGAAGAAGGCTAAGGAGATGGCAACAAAACCTGCAGGTTTTTCGTCGTCGTCCCATGAAGAACACGAAAACGTTGTTCCGTTATCTGTAGATGAATCTAATTTGCTTTTTCCGACAAGTTCAGACTTTCGGTTATGGAGTTATTAGATAGGATTCTCCATTGATCGGAATAATAGAATGCATGTTCTTGTCTTATTTTTGTGGATCCCAAAGTTTGAGAGAGAGTAAAATTGAGAGTAGAAGTAGTATTTTTCTTTTTAAAATCGAAATCTTTCGTTTGGGTTCGGATTTAATTCTTACAATACATGATTCAGTTTTTATAATATACAGTCAGTTCAAATAGTACCGTGATCATCCTTAAAAAGTGGTTAAAATTGTAATATTTGTAATAAATTTAAATTAAAGGTCGTCGACCACTGATAGTTAGAATCCCAATCATTAGGTAGTCAGAAATTTATTTATTTTTTGTGAACAAATACCAATTTTGATCTAGAGTATTAGCAAAATGATTGATTCACATATTTTTTTTATTACAAAGAAAGGGAATACCTAAACGGACTCAAACTCATCACCTCCCACGTAGGAAGGAACTTGGTACCATTGGATCACAAGGTCGAGCAAATACCAATTTTGGTCCCACAAGTATTAGCAAAATGACAGTTTTGGTCCACATGTTTAATTCATACCAATTTTCATTCACGACTATTGTTTTAGTACCAATTTTAGTCCACAACTATTGTTTTAGTGCCAAAATTCATCATGCCGATCACCTCTTCGTTTAAGACATGCCGAAATATGAAATTATTAAGGGTAGTTTCGTGCTTTTCAAATTAGGATCCCTATTTGAGCATGAATAAAGGGATTTAAGCCCTAAGATATATCATAATTCGCAGTTTTCCTCCTCAAATTAAAGGTAGTTGATTATGAGGATAACTGCGAATTGAGATTGATCTTAGAGCTTACAATCATTTATTTATGCTCAAATTGGAATCTTAAGTTGAAAATGACAAAAATTTCCTTAAAATTTTTAGATTTCGAGATGTTTTAAATAGATGGGTGACCGACGTGATAAATTTTGGTATTAAAATAATAGTTGTGGATTAAAATTGGTAATAAAACAATAGTCGTGGATGAAAATTGGTAGGAGTTAAACATGTGGACCAAAACCGTCATTTTGTTAATACTCGTGGGACCAAAATTGGTATTTGCACTGTTTAATTTCTACCAATTTTCATCACGACTATTGTTTTAGTACAAATTTTCATCCATGACTATTGTTTTAGTACCAATTGTTCCTTCTTTTTTTTTTTTTTTTTTTTTTTTTGGCAAAATCTTCGGTATATTCATTAGATTAATAGTAAAATAATGCATTGTAATTTTAATCTAAATTATTAATAATCGATTGTTTTTTTTTTTTTTGTGGCAAAATCTTCCTTATATTCATATTTATTAGATTAATAGTAAAATAACGCATAGAAATAATTTTAGAACATTATGACTTCTCGAATTACGGATTCTTTTACATTTTTCCTTTTTTACAACTAACCTTATTATTATTAAGTGTTTGGGTGGGAAGTTAGAATAGATGATTTTGTTTTTAATAATAGTATAGAGTATAGATTATTAATAACTTATTCTTTTCTAATTTTTTTGGCAAAATCTTTCTTATATTCATTAGGTTAATAGTAAAATAACGCCTTGTAATTTTTATCTAAATTATTAATAATCGATTCTTTTTGTTTTGTTTTGTTTTGTTTTTTTTTTTTTTTTTTTTTACAAAATCTTCCTTTTATATATATATATATATATATATATATATATATATATATATATATATATATATATATATTATATTAATAGTAATATAACGTGTAGAAATAATTTTAGAATATTATAGCTTCTCGAATTACGTAAACTTTTTTTCTACTTTTTATTTTATACTGCTAACCTTATTATTATTAAGTGTTTGAGCGGAAATTAAAAATGATGATTTTGTTTTTAATAATAGTATTGATTGATTAGATTAGTAGTTAAATAATGATCTGTAATTTTAATCTAAATTATAAATAATTAATTCTTTTTTTTTTTTTTTTTGCAAAACCTTCATTGTATTCATATTCATTATATTATTAGTAAAATAACGCGTCGAAATAATTTTAGAACATTATGACTTTTCGAATTACAGATTCTTTTCAATTTTCCTTTTTTACTACTAACCTTATTATTATTATTAAGTGTTCGGGCGGGAAGTCAAAAAGAATGATTTTGTTTTTAATAATAGTATAGATATAGATTATTAATAACCAATTCTTTTTTTTTCTTTTTTTTTTTTTTTGCAAAATCTTCATTAAATTAATATTAAAATAACGACATGTAATTTTAATCTAAATGGTTAAATAACCGATTCTTTTCCTTTAATATATTTTTTTTTTTGCAAAATATTCCTTATACTCATATTCATTAGATTAATAGTAAAATAACACGTAGAAATAGTTTTAGAACATTATGGGTTCTCGAATTACGGATTCTTTTCTATTTTTCCTTTTTTTTTTACTACTAACCTTATTATTATTAAGTGTTTAGGCGGAAAATTAAAAATGATGATTTTGTTTCTAATAATAGTATTAATGTGCCTTAATTCCTTTGTTTATATCCTTAGGTGCATAAATTGTTGATTTGAAAACAATCGTATGTCTTTCGGTGCATTTTGAATGAATCTCGAGTTAATGAGAGCGAGGGTGATGCTAAGGAGGTCGCTAAAATACTCCAAAAGGTGCCAAAGATTGGTGTATTCAATAGCCTTGATCACTTGCGCAAACCAAGGCAAAAGTGGAGCAAAAGTCAATAAGATAAAATTCTTGCACAGATTGACCACTGTTATGTATTTGGACCATATCTTAGCCTAGGAATATCCAAATGTAGTTATTCTTGATCCATTGGAAAGAAGACCTAAAGAGCTACAACCCTTATGAAGACATCAAAATCTAAATCAGGAGGGAAGAGGGTCAAAATCAGCCTACAAACTGCACCTGCGTCACAGGAGGATTCTCGACGCGGCGAGAGGTGCCAGAATGGCCCCAAATTTTCTCTGTATTATCTCGACACGTCGAGAGCTCAAGATCTGCGCATTTTTCTGAGAAAATTGCCTTTTTTGACCCCCATTCTCCACCCGTACTATATATAACATCATTTCCTACAAACCCTAAGATGTGTGGTGGCTTTGGAAGACAAAATAAGTGAACATAGGTGATTCTTCACACTCCAAAAGGGAGAAAGAGGGATCCCCACACCTTGGAAGAGTAGAATCACATTTTGGAAGCTTCAAGTCACACGAAAGGGGGAAAAGCTTGGAAGAACATCATTCAGGAAAATCTCATCCCTTTTCTTTTACTTTCTTTGTTTTTTGAATTTCCTTAATACTTGTGTAATGAATACAATGTTAGACATGGTTGGCTAAGCTTATTTTGGGATTTTTAGGTTGAAAGTGTCTATGAACCTATGTGTCTTGTTCTTAATTTCCTTAATGAAATATGTGTTTGTGTTTTATATCTTGTGTTGCAATTGTAGTTTATATTCTTGATACTTGTAATTAATGATCCAAATTACATGTTTCATTGCTATATTTGTGTCTTGATGAGAGTTAGGGTATAAATTTGGGCATCCACAATTGCACTTGGCTATTGCACCTTGAGAGATGGAATTTTGGCTAAGGAGTTTTATCTTGATTGCTTGCTCTTGAATTATTTGAGTGATTATTTCATGGCAATGAATATATTCACTCACATTATTTTGGGTTGGAATAATGGGAGTAATTCATTCTATTTGTATGCAATCTTTCACACTTGTTTAAGACCAAATTAATTTTTTCACTTTAGATTGGCACTAGGTGATTAAACACTTAACCCCCGAAAATCCCATCCACATTCTATTGTATTCCTAAGTTGCTTGCCTTGTCTTTATTTTACTAGTATTTGATTATATTAAGCTATCTCTCGTGACATTAGGAATAGCTTCAACAGAATAGATTAGTAGCTAGTGCTTAATACCCCACTTCCTTATGGATCGATAACCCCGGGATACTCTGGATATTTGTTTGTTAAAATATGCTACAATCAATTACCGTTTTGAATCTTTCATGCATATCAAGGCACTAATAGAGAAGCTATTTTTGAAAGTGAAATGTATATATTGGCTTGGTTCCCATGAGAACAACAACTCTTCAGGTGAGAAGTGTGGATAAATATTATCCATCAATCTAGTAAAATCTAACGGTTGAAAAATAAAGATAAAAAATAAAATAAAATGCAGTGACATTTATTGTAATTAAGATTGTGCATTTGGAAAAATTTGAAAGTGTATTCGTGGATAACTGACAGTGCATTTGAACACTCTTTTTTGAAATCCACTAACAAAGCGTTTTTTTTACACCACAGAATCCAATTCTTTTGCTTGTTACCAATATCTACTAGTTGTTGTTTCTAGATACGGTTGTTACTTGACATTTTGTTGAGATATTTGATGATATTAATCATCTATATTAATAGTCATGTGTCTCTTGGATTTTCCATATGTCTCTTGGGTTTCCCATGTGTCTGTTGGGTTTTCCATGTGTCTCTTTATTTTCTCATTTGTATTTATTTTTCATCATCTTGTTAGCACACCATATATACAAGTGCTTGTATTGAAGTTGATACAAGACACAATATATTAATTTTTCCTCTTCTTCTTGTTTATTTGTATTCTACACATTTCTTCTAATTCGTTGATACTAGAAGCAAATTGTTGTGTGAAAGAATCTATATCTCAAAATATGCCAAGAAGAAGTTGGAAATAATGAACCAAGTCAATTTACCAAAAATAATATTATATATATATTCACACTAATATATATATATATATATATATATATATATATATATATATATATATATATATATATATATATATATATATGTATGTATGTATGTATATATATATAGAATCGCACTCAGGTGCGAATGCTTCGCCCAGGAGCGAAATAGGAATGGATTCTGTCTGTCCACGTGTCCAGATCTAATGGATGAGAAACACTGATTTTTTTTAAAAAGCGCAGTGATATTTTCGTAAATAATTGAATATCGAAGTGCAAGCAAAATGTATTACAAATG